TCTCCAATATATAAATTTGGGGTACTAATTTTTAACCATTATCTTAAGTTATTTTGTTAGATAAGCTTTAGATTTGGCTTCAGTACTGACTAAACTTATGTATATGCACAAATATAATATTGTAAAGCATCCTATAGAAAATATTAATTTAAATGAGAGAAATGTGGGGGGTGTACTTATAAATGTTGAGCACTGTGTATATATAAAACCTATTAAAAAAGGTAAATGTTGTTGACCTACATACTAAGGGTTAATCTCTTTGTACTTTTTGTAAACTGACATACGACTATATTTCCTCAAGTGTTTGGTGCAATCTCAAACCACACAGATTGCTTGTTGTTCAAATGTTGCAGTTTAGTGAGAGTGACGGGTAGTGGGAAGGCTATGGCTACGTTTTCAGATGCAATTGTGTCTCCATAGACTCCTAACAAGTTGCTGACATCTCTTTTGTGAGAGTGAGGTTGCGATGGAAGCAGCCGTTTATTGACTGCGCTCGCTTTGATGGGAAGAATCACGAGCGAGATGAAAAGAAGGATCGGTAGCCGCTCAGGATCATACCACACTGATGTGTACTTTTCACTTACGAGCTCTTCTATTGGTTATTAACTACTTTACTGTGGCTCTTTTTTATGCTTTTGTTGGACCTTTAGTCTTGTAAGAGATTGTACTTTATTGGTTTTATGGACACTTATTAATTGGCCATCCACAACAATCATGCACACACCGAGGTCCACAGTAAATCACAAACTGTGCACAGCCCCATGCTGTAACTGTATTGTCTAAATGTCAGGAGACCCAGAGCAAGGGGGGTGCAGGGGGATGGGACGGTGACAGTAGATGAAGTGAAGAGATTCAAGCTTCACTCTACTGTGTGTGTTTGACAGCTGTTTTCTTCCACACTCACTTCCCCCTCCCCGGACCCCTGTCAGCCTCCCCACCATTACTCACCCCAACACTCCAGCACCAGGACAGCAGTGACAGCTCCCCTCCCTGAGCTCAGCCAGCGAGGTGCAGGAGCCAAACAGAGAGAGCGGTTGAAAAGGCACGCGAGATCCGTGAAATCCTATCCATGACGGTGAGGGCCTCAGATGACTCTGATGTCCACCCTGCTGTGATGATGGTTTATATGTCATCAGGACAGATAGGATATGCCTTCGACGGCAAATTTGCAGGCGGCTCGGTATCTCTCTCGGTGCATGGACAGACAGATCCTGGAGGGAGGTCCTTATGGGCTATAGAGTTTCAGAGTCTAAGGCTGCTGGCGAGTGTGTGTCGTTTGGTTTTCTCTGAGGGTTCTCGGGTAATTGTTGTGTCATTACGAAGGTAATTGTGCAGCATCCATAGTTTACCCCCCACCCCAAAACAAATAATATATACACACATGAAATAATATAGATAAATGGTGTGCAAAAAGGCCAAAAGCCCATCAGTACATGAAGGACGCATATTCTGTCTTACAAGGGAATGGCTATGATCGTAAAAGAGTTAATGGGTATGATGGAATCACAGCACCCTGGGAAACGGTTATGAACTCTGTAGGTTGAAATGATAGCATGTTATAGGTTTATTTCATTCCCAGATCATTGAGAGTGCTTATTCTCTGAACAAAAACATTGCCAGAGCTTAGGACAGGTTTCAATGGATAGAACAGCTGGGTCGTTCATATTTCTGCATGACATTAATAACATTTTAGATACAAAGAATAATTTATTTGGTTCATCTAGAGCATATATGGTCCTCAGACTAGAATCACACTAACAAGTTAGTGGGTTTTCATCATACAGTAGGTCCTTAAATCAGCTAAATTTTGGAAAAAAAGGAAACATAAAGCATTTAGTCCTATGAAACATTGGTACATGAATGGAAACACCAAAGTTAGTCAAGTTCTCCTGTTCCTGCTTGGGCTTTATGTGGTTAGTTTGCTAATCCCTGGTCTTCTAGGCTGGTCAAGTGACCATGTTGCTTTAAAGTGATTTATGGCACTTGTCAGCCTGGAAAACCTGCTTAGCCACAGCTGAAGTCCAGCTGGAAAAGCATCTAAGATGATGCCGAAACTCAAAGTATATTTCAGCCATTCCATAAAGGTCCATGCACTTTCCTTGCAATGCAATTTTTAAATTTGTAGTCCAATTTTTAGACCACATGGAGAGTAAGGCTACAATAGCACAAGTGTGACTTTTGTTAGTCCACCAAGTGGTTTACGCACGTGTTGAACTCAACTGTACTCGATTATTTTGCAATTTAGTATTCTTTAATAGCTGTGCAGACATGTCTGTGCATAAGATCAGGGATGAAAAACTAGAAGTCTCTTCTATTGCATTAGATTCTAAAAACCCTTTATGGGATGTTTATCAAAAGTGCTTCCTACAGTCCTACAAAATGTTAAATAAATATATAAATACAGCACTTTTAACTCAAGTGTTGTTCTTAGTCACTACATCTTACACACATACAAGCACACAGACACACACATACACACTTAGGCTTCCCATCAGCAAATTAACTGAATAAAGAGCCTCTCTTTGCTGGGTCGTTTGAGTGGCTAATTAGTCATCAGCGCATGCTGTGTAGGGAGAGAGAGAGAGAGAAGAGCGCTGGAGAGAGATCGGTTTTGCATCAAGAGGTAGAACTTCAAACGACATCTGATGAAAGCCAAAATGCTTAATTAAAATCTATTTGTATGAGGAAAAAATCATCATAATTTCAACCCCAAAAATAGAGAGGGTGTAAAAAAAAGGGCTGTTTTGTTAGATGCGGGTGGAGATATAAACACATTAGTTTAGATAATGTGCCGACTTTATTATCCAAGCAGGGAGCGGAGACAGCGAGAGGAACTGACTCTGAGATTGGCGATAATTTCCCCTTTGTGTCTAACTTGGACTGTATCCACATTTGCTAATAACAGTTTTGCGATTCTCCCCCTCGTCTCTCTCTGCCCGCTCTTTGTCTGACATTGCCTCTTAGAGCTGCCTATGAACCCCCTGGCACTGCATTTATAATAGATGGAGCTCAGTACGCACAATATAAGCAGGGTATGAAGGGGCTTTCTACACTAGCAGCCAGTCCCGAAGAGTTGATTCATCTCACCGGCATTTTCTTCTCTTTTTTCGTTCATGTGGCTGTGTAGATGCCTATAAAAAGTACAGTGTGCTCATCCCAAAATCTTTCAAACCTCTGCCATCCCTCAGTAGCATGTTGCTTTAAGCTGCATGACATAGAAAATGTATCCTTATGCTGCTCTGTGCTTATCAATGTAGGTTGGATATGCCCACGGAGCATCTATTAAAGTAATAAGACCTACAAAATGCACAAGAATGGAATAATTCCAGAGGTGCATGATCTTTCTTGGTTGCTAAAATTCATGCTCACTAAAACATGGCTTTAAAAAGCCTCAGTGAATGGATAATTCATGTGCTTTCCAGGTAGTGCTCAGAATCATAAATGAACACTGAGCTCACTGGGAGAGCTTGCAGTGGTAAATTGTAGCTGCTGCAGTGGACTGTTTTAGTTATTTTAGTTTTGTTGAAGCCTATGCCGCATTACATAACACAAGTCAAATTGTAGCTACAGTATTAGCTGTTCTTTAAATGTCACCAATGAGGTCAGAGAAAGTGCACTGGAACCATTTGGCTTCAGGTTAAATGAATGGTCAATACTTTACTAATGCAATAACTGGGTCTTCACTGCATTATGAACAGTAACCTCAAAGAAAGCCATGCATGTACAGCAGGTTTTGTAATTAAATGCATTAAATTACATTTTTACAGTGTTATAAATATTAAATATGACATACAGTAGCATTCTTGGTCAAAGACAGGTCAAGAGACACAGTTTGGAAACCTTTTCCCATATCATCTTGCTCTCTCCCATTTTGCTTTCTGTCATCACTATACTGTCCTATCTCAATGAAGACAAAAACTTAAGGTCACACTTTATTTTGATGGTCTGTTTGTTGAATCTAAGTTACATTGCATCTAGATGCCAACTAATTCTCAGTAGATTATAAGTAGAGATGGGGTAAGGGTTTAGTGTAAGTGTACTTGCAAAGTTTCTAACTATAATCAATTTAATGTCTGTTAAAGGAGCAGTATCAATGGATATTAAGCAGACAGTCTACTAATACTCAAATGGACCAGCAAAATAAAGTGTTACCAAACTTAATCTTTGGCAAAATAGATTCTGTACATTTGTATTTCTTTCTCTATTTTGCAGATTGACTAGTGGCAAAATAAAATAAAAACGTGTATAAAACATGTGTATTTTAATTAAGTAAATTGACAAAAAAAATTGTACAGTTTATTTAGGTCTGAGATAAAGTAGATGACAGAATAAGAGTAGATAAATGACATACGGCAGCTGTAACCTACAGCTGACATGAATTAAATAACCGTGAGGTTTACTCCACTGCCAGTGCAGTGCCAAAGTGCTTTTACCGCAACACACTGAACAGAACTGTCTAATATCCAAACTGGCCACTGTGACTGGGGAACAATAATGTTAAACCACTGAAAAAGAAACTGCTGAGTGAGCAGTCAGTGAGCCATGATAGTGCCGTCTTTCTTTTTCGTCCTCCCTCTGTCTGCCAAAGTATTCATCAGAGGAAAAACCAGAGTGAGGGGAAAGGTATCTTAAGTAATAAGACGGTCATTTCTCGCTCAATAAGCACAGTACGAAATGTGCTACGCTACATGGATAAATACTGCTCCCTCAACCGCAGCAAGTGCAATAAAAATTCCATGGATGTTCGGGTTTTTCTCCCAGAAAATTTTGCCCCCCAGCTGCACTTGAACAATTTTCTGTGCAAAAAGTCTCTTTGCAGCAGATGTATTCATTTACACCTTCCAAAGTGCAACTAACTGAACCAGTCCCAACTGAAAAGGTGTTGGCGCACCACGTGTTTTGTTGTAGCACGTTCAACTATACCTGAGTTTTTCAGACACTTAGTACTTAGTTTTCTGAGGCTAAAATCTCATGTTTATGCATTTCTGTTTCCCCTGCAGACATGTCTGGAATTGGAGAGGTACCTGCAGACAGAGCCCAAAAGGCTTTCAGAACTCTTTGATGAGGAGCTCGACTGCCTTCTTACGCCAGCATTCATGAAGGGAGACAGCGACGAGGACTTGATGGACCCTTTGCTGCCCAGTTTATCCGACGAGCCTAGCCCCCCACCTCTGCTTGTGTCCCTTCCCAAAACCCTCCACACCCCAGCCAACACTAAGAGTACTGATGCAGGGCTCAAAGAAGCCAGTGGAGGGGTTAATCCAGCCCAGTTAAATGCAGTCACGTCCCTCACGCCACCTTCTTCCCCAGAGTTGGGTCGCCATCTTGTTAAGCCCACACAGACTCTTACCGCCACAGCTGATGGCACACTCACACTAAAACTGGTGGCCAAGAAAGTCGGCCTTGGAGCGGCAAAGCTGGTTGCAACGCATTCGATACCTTCACCACCAAATCGTGGCACACAGAGTGATGGCGAAGGAGGACTTGGTACAGTAGGTGGAGGGGACATCCCAGAGAACAAAAAGAGGGTCCATCGCTGCCAGTTTAATGGCTGTCGGAAGGTTTACACAAAAAGCTCCCACCTGAAGGCACACCAGAGGACACATACAGGTGATTGACTGCAGACATTATATTGTTAATTTTTATTCACATGTTGTTTTCCTCGAGAGTGTATAGCAACTGTAGCTGTGCACGGAATGTGATGAAGTTTCAGAGTTTGGAAAATCTTCTTTGCCTAGGTTCCGTTACCATAGAAGGGTCACACAATATCTTGTGAAGCTAACTCGATTTCTGCAGCACAGCCCCAAAGCAAGATAGCTGGTTTTCTCTCCCTGCACCTTAATCTCAGACTAAAATGAGCCTAGCCACACCATTCAAAACCTGCCACTGCAGTCAGTAATTGCAAGATGATTGATAGACCGGCTAAGCTAAATCTCGTTTCCCAGCTAATTCAGGCTCGCACGCTCCGGTGCTGTCGTTGCTGCCCTCTCAATGAACCTGAGAGCATGTTGCACTCTGCCATGGCCCCGAAACCCACTGTGACAGTGGCCTCAATGCAGCGTATCTAGCCCCTGTGGCCAGCTGTTGACTAGCTTATAGAAGGCACTTTTGCTTTTGAAGATGTGAGGAAGCAAGTAATAACAGGTAAAATGGGAAAATAAAAAACCCTGAAGAGGCATTTTGGCTCGTCATATTATAGGTTTATTGCAAGACAGATTTATTCATTTAATTTGCTTAATCCTGTTTTTTGGTTGTTTTCAAAGATTACTAAAACAGGGAGATTAAAAATTACATCAGGATTTAAGGGAAGACTACATGCTGCAGGACTCTATGCTAATATTTAGCTCTTGTGTCCCTAAAAAGCGATTCAAAAACAAGGCAAACTTAAAACATTTCTTCTTAACCTGATGCATTTTAAACTAGCCAGAGGAATAAATAAATAAATAAATAAATAAATAAATAAATAAATAAATAAATAAATAAACAATGAAGTGTCAATTTGTCTGGTGTAACCTGCACACACTACTGCATTTTATTCTAGATATTCATGTTTCAATTTAGAACTTTTACAAAGGAAATAGCCTGATTATTTAATGTCGACTTGTAGACTAATGTAGACTTAAATAAAAAACACAAGTTTACACATTACTCAGTAGGTAAAATAAATCGTGCTATGTTTTACATGTATTTGAACTTGATGGTGTCTTAAAGCTAGGGCCAGACAGAATCTTTTTTTTTTTTTGCCATTTCTGCAGAAAAAGAAAATCTCTGGATTTTTCCGAAATAATTTTAGTAGTATCTTAACTAAAAACATAATATATTAAATAAATAAAAAAATTATACATTTTTAACTTATGTTTAAAATGCAAATTCAATTAGATCCACTTATTTGGTAAACAAAGCAAGTCTCTCGTATTCGTATAATATATCTACAAAAAGACTTATTGTATTGTACATAAAACTTTCTTTATATTCTTTTTTTTCCACATTTTATTAATTCTATTATTATGTCACAATAATATTCGTGAAATTATTTTAAAAACTGAATAAATAGAAAGTAAATACATAGACTCAATGAAGGGCTAAAAATCTGTGGAAATCTGTGGATTTCTGCTCGTGCAGATTCCGTGTGGGCCTAATTATAGGACATTGCCACCACTCTAACTAAAAACATATTTTTTTCAACTGGGTGAACCTGGGAAATGCGAGCGCACACAATATGCACACCTAATATGTGTGTGCCCACAAAAAATGCAATGTGAACGGCCCCGTGTGCAGATACCCTTCCCTTCACATTCAGAAGATACCTTCACTCAGAGTCTTGCACAAAAATTCAATTTAGCCTGTTTAGGTTGATTGTTGGATACCTGTGTCCTCCTTGGTGACGAATATTGTCGTGGAATGCTTTCGATTCAAGTGCTTCAATAAGTTGCTGGACGAGTTAAAAGCAGTCAAAAGATCTTTAGAGACTTGACATAGACTGCATTTCACAGCAATATTGTTGTTTTTTACGCTCAATGAAATCAAAATGTCTGTATTTCCACTTAAGGAAACAGCCACTCTTAGCAGCAACCATTTCAGCTTGTGTTCTCCAGCAATTTAAAAGTGCATGCTTATTGACGTTGCAACAGAAAACGTGATTTAATAGCATTAAAAGCTATATTTGTAATGTAAGCAACGCAATTACATTGACTTTAGTAACTGTAATCTAGTTATATTATAATTACTGGGTCCCCCAAAAATGTAATTAGTAGGCCTATGACCTCAATAATTTTTGGTGATGCAATATATATAGCTTATGCATAAAAAACAATTCTTTAGGTGTCAGTGTCAGTATGGTTAAAAAAAAAAAAAAAAAAGACGATAGGATTTACTATTAATTACTATAGTTCATTTTCATGTGGGTGTCTGACAGCTGAAAACAGATCTGGTACCAGATATCGCAAACTCTGTTACTTTTTAAATTGCACTTTTTTTATTTATGTTTATTATTATTTACTTTGGATATGTGTTTTCACATTCTGATTCCAGCGCCTAATTATTCAATTGTTAAAATGACTATAATTAAATGAAATATTCTTAAAAATAAAATATTCTTTGGAAGAGTGTACTATATTGTGGCATTGTCTAAAATGGTCTTAAAATGGCAATAAAATTGTTTAACACAATATATTTTGGCGTGATATATCTTAAAACAAAAAAATAGATATTGTGACAGGCCTAGTAATTAGAATTAGAGTTACACCCAACTCTGGAAGGAATCAAGGAGTTCGGATTGTATGAATGCATTAATGCATTCGATTGGGTGTCTAAAGTCTCTCAAATAAAGTTTTAAAATGCACACAATCATTTACAATCAATCACAGAGCAGCCTCGGTGCCATGTGGTAATGACATAGCCCTACTTTGCTTTGTCAACAGTGTTTTCAGTAGTTAATAACACTTCCCTGAATGGGGTTTGCAAGGTAAAAGTGGGTTACAATCAGAGAGCTTGTTTTGAAAAGCTACATGAGCCACTGGAGATGATGAAATGAATGGATGATAATTGGACCCTGCCACTGAAATCTAAACTTTGCAGACAATAATAGCTTCCCGGCACTCTGTCCTGAGGAAAATGTAATTAAGCGCACCATACACACCTAGGACACTGGTGCGAGGGAAGGAACTTGCTGTTTTGGAAGGAACCCGTTGCTAGGAGACCATATCAAAAGACTGTAATAGGTTGATTATTTGCAGCTCTAGACGCCAATAGAAGCTCCAATAGTCTAAACCTATCCCACCTTGCTGCTACCCTCTTTGGGTACAGTTGAGGTTGCCAGGCAACTACATCATGCATATCTAAAGCAAGCAATAATTGGTTGGTATTGCGGAGTGTCCATAGGTTGCATACCGACTGGATGCCTCTCTCTCTATTCTCCTTTTAACACTCTCTCTCTCTCTCTCTCTCTCTCTCAGCTGGTTGCTAGGAGACTCCATCATGCATCCCTGACTCTCCAAGTTATAATTGGCCTGTGTTATGGTTGCCGTGGTTGCAGGTCCAAGCCTGCCTTGCTGCTGTCAGACAGCAAGTGAGGGAACAAAATAAAGAGGGGGAGGAAGGGGGCTACGGCATAAGGAGGGAGCAAGCACGAGGGGGTCTTTGGCCAATTATTGAAAGTGTAGTGCGAAACGTTTGCTGTCTCACACCTGCGGCCCCGCCACTCTTCAAATGACACAGAGATGCTCTTTCTGCTCACTTGTAGCAGTCACACACCCGAGAGCAGACGTAGCTATATTTCCTCCAACTGATTTTATAAATTGAAGGAGCTCAAGGACAGGCAAACATAATAAAATAAACCTCAAGGCACTTTGACCTGCTGTTTGTCTGGTCGTGTCTTGCCTGGCTAAGAAAGATGAGGGATGTCAAAGAAAGCCTGCTGCTTGTTTGCTGTTTTCCCAAAGGTGAACTACTGGTAAAAAAAAAAAGGCCAAGTACATTGTATTATATTTAAAAATCCTCTACTCTTTGTCATCGAAAGTCAAGAAATACATCTTTAGGGGATAGAAAAAGAGACTGTCCAGACACCTTACGTGAAGCCGTTTTCCTCGTCAACCCTGCAGTGTCATTCTTTACTTTGCGTTGCATCATAGGACTTTCAGGACCGACCGAGCAATGTAGCGGTACACCCGATGTTATGTCATCTTTTACCTCATCTTGCATCATAAAGCTAAAATACGAGACTGGATAAATAGATGAAAAGTCTTTGATTTCATAACAGCAATATGTGCTCCCATAAGAGCTGCATACATTTTTAGGATATGAAATATTGCTAGGGAATGCCTTCCACTTTCCCCACATCTTATTGGATCATATTCTCCTTACAAAAAAGGAAAATAGCAGCCTGTAATCATTTCCATTCCTCTCTATGATTTTCTCCGTCAGTATTCAGAGTCAGTCACTGAGGTTCAGACACATTCTTGAAAGACTAACGTGGAACTGCTTGAATTCCTTGCTACTCCAGGCCAGTTTAAAATGGTTTGTATGATCTTTTGATTTAAAAACGGATTGCTAATGACTAATCATTGATTTTGATTATTGATCTTTAAAATCAATAAATCTACCTACTACAACCCCTATAGAAGTACCATAGGAACCATTGTAGCTTCCAGGGGTGTAACAATGCATTCATGCATACGATGTGTTGTCTTGATTATTTTTAATATACTGACAATATTATCAGAATCAGAAAGTGCTTTAATGCCATGTTAAAACATATGAGGAATTTGTTTTCGTGACAGAGCTTCTACAGTGCAACAGAGTTACAGAGACAGGACAAGAAACAGAAAATGAATATATTTTGAAAATAGAGGTGTTACGTCTTGATTATTTGTAGAATAAGTCAGAATTATTAACCCCCCTGAATTATTAGCTCCCCTATTTATTTTTTAAATTTATACTTTATATAGTTTTAAATTGTATGCCATCATTGTGGGGTCCTCCTCGAAACAAATAGATGTTACGAAACACCAACATGGTGTGGCTAAATATCAACTTTGATATAAACGGGCCTGGGAGTAAGTATGTTATTATTGTGGGAACACACAGAGTTCCTCTTGTGTGTGTGAACGCATCGATAGAAACACTTTCTGTGCTGCTAATTTTTTTTTTTTGTTTAATTTCTTTAATAACATTTGAAAGTGTGTAAATTCCCTTTTGTCCTGTTTTCACACCTATGCGATATTGTGGGCTCATATAAAGAAGTTTGAGACAACAGTTACTTTTTTTTTCTTCATGCCTCTCAAACTTCACCTCTCCTGAGCAGATTATAAATAATACTAGGACAGATGTTTCACAACAAGAGGAACATCTGCATCTCATTTACTGATCATGAAGCAGCCATGTTAACTTGCATGAAACCATCATTTAAATAATCCTACAGTGGCTCTTCGTGACTGTTTATTTAAATATAGTGGGTCTGGTATCTCCTGAAGCAAATCCAACGAAGTGTATAGTGACCATTCTCTGTCTAATCAGTATCTGCACTGTTTCCGTGTAACATTCTGGTAAATGTACAGCTCACTTAGAACCTCAAAGTTATGCCACAGACTCAATCAGAATTTAATCATACAATTTTGTATTATCAAATATCTCATCACTGGCCAAGAGTATTGATGCTATATTATATTGTGATGAGACGTCTGACTTACAGTACACCCCTAATAGCAACCTCCCAGAACACGCTAGCAATGATGCATAACCTATCAACTTACCTAACCTTATATATATATATATATATATATATATATATATATATATATATATGTATGTATGTATGTATGTATGTATGTATGTATGTATGTATGTATGTATATATATATATATATATATATATATATATATATATATATATATATATATGACTGTAATAGACTATCAAGCCAACCTAAATATTTTGTTATAACATGTTATTTAAATGTAACAAATATTTATGCAAAAAATTACATGCAGTATATAAAACCCCTAAATCGCCATCCTACCTGGTGGTCAGCCTACTTAAGAAGCATGTTAGGCACTAATTAAATAAAGAACTTTTTCAAATTGGGCAACATTCATTTTAAATGGAGCTGTACTGTAGTTAGTAACATTGGTGCACACAACATTTGCTTGAAAACCTGGCAGCTCTTGTGCTGTGAATACGGCATTGTTTCCCATTAAGCATCATTAAGACCCCAATTATCATTACCACCTCCAGATCTGAATCAGTGCCATCGACACCCTCCCCATTCCCACCCAGGCCCCAGGCTGAAGCCTGTTCTGTTCCCTAGGAACACTGCCACTGTGCCGGGACCCTCTCTTCGGGTGCTGAAATCCCCCCCTTCCTTCCTCACTCAAGGCCATATTTTAAATCTGAGGCATAAAAATACGGCGTGTGGAACAATTGGTATCTCCTTTCCCATCTGTTTAACTTCATTTGAATTTCAGAGCTCACTGGGAGGGTGGAGAACATTTAGCACAAATGGCTTCATTTTGGATACTTGACTTTGGGTTATGAATTCGTTCTGTTATGGTGACTGAGCACATTTATGCAGCCCCTCTTCAGTTTAAGAAAAAATGTAAAACAGTGATTTGATTGAATCAAAATCTGTTTCATTTTCTTTCTTTTCTATATATATTTTACGTTTGACTACTGAGAATGCAGGAGGTTTGAGCTACAGCGCTGTAATTTGGAGAACTGGGCAATAAATGGTGTGATCCGATTGGCTGGCTAGGATATGTGATTGAGAGAAACAGTAATGAATGATGTTGATAATGGAACTGCTGACTGTACTCGCAGTGGCACAGCAGCAGCCTCGCTCCAGAGGCGCACCATCTGTGTACAGGTGTGTGTGAATGGTGAAGCGGGGATTAAATGATGTGTGTTTGTGCATGCAGGTGAGAAGCCTTACAAATGCTCCTGGGAAGGCTGTGAATGGCGTTTCGCACGAAGCGACGAACTGACGAGGCACTACCGCAAACACACTGGTGCCAAACCTTTCAAGTGCAACCACTGCGACAGGTAAGAGAAGCACAGCAAAAGCTCCAAAACTAGCTTTCAATAAAAGTAAGCAAGCATGCATGCATTTAACCCTTTTTAATTCTGTAACGCTCCCACACACAAACTCAACCACGCTAGTCCACAGTCCTCAAGTGCCTATAAACAAATTCCTCCAGTTATGAGACCACAGGACTAAACTCTCTCCCTCTCAAAGAATCCATCGCACCCTCCCTTCGGCTCTTGTTTTCTTAAATTCTCTCTGATGGCATGCACATAGCAGTGCTGCATCGGGCTCATTGGAAGTTAGCACAGGCCCGGTTCCCTGCTGAATAACTCATTCACAGTCTGGTCCTGTGATACCCATTACCGAATTACTGCGAATATCTCATTCTCACATTCTGTTCCACTTTCCTCCGTCCTCCCATCGGTACGGCGTATGCCCACACTGTGGCTCGAGTGCAGGGAGAAAGAGAAGTTAGAGGCATGGGTATGCATTCCAAGGTAAGAGGAGTTACATAACAGTAATATAAAAGAGATGGAGAGAGGCACAGGAGAGGAAATGGATGCACGTAGAGCTCTAGAGGAAAGACACAGCATATTTGATGAGGGTTGTTTTTTTCTTTTTTGCCTGTATGCTGAAACATCAGCATGGAGTAAGCGGTTTTTGTAGGACATTATGTGGAATAAATAATCACAATTTGCATACTATTAGCAATGCACTAGTATTATAATTCTGGTCAATGCAATAGTGCAAAAACTATTTTGGTGTCATTATGGACTATAAGTGGGATATATTAACTTTATTTTGTCCAAAATATGGCATTAAAATTGACATTAGATAAAGATAACATTTAATAATGTTAATTAAATTGAATATTAATTAAATATAAACTTTATAGTTAGATGCAAATGCTATTGTTAGTGTACAAATGGTTGAAATGAGCAGTAGTTACAGGCCCACAGCCAGCCTGGTGAAAGGAGTGCTTCTTTTTTTTTTCAAAAAGTGGACCTTTTTTTCTATTTCATTACGAAGTTAAGTATTTATAGTTTGAATACTGCATTTTAGTGACATTTTAAGCATAATTTATTTCTGGATTAGCTTGTCGGGTGGCCATCATAACCACACTTTATGATGTACCAAAAACATTTCCTAAATATTTAGAATAAAAAAATATGAAAAAAATTATATTTATATGTATTATTTTATCATATATCATAAGGAAAAGATAAAGGAATCTGCTAAAGTTTTAAATTAAAAACTGCCTATTAAGGCTAAGTCGCCAATTTTTTAGCAAATAACAAACACGCCAGCACATTCAACTTTCCTCAGTTAGAATTTGGCCACTTGAATAACAAAAAAAAAATTACATAATAATAATAATAATAAGAAGAAGAAAACCAACGTAGAGCTTCACAATTTTTCTAGCCTCTCTTGTAAAAAAAAGTACATCTGAAAATTCCTGGAAATCAAAAATAGCCTTATTAGTATTAAAATATACTTGTATATGCTTCAAAAATGACTTTTTGTGCATCACAGCTTTTTATTTGTAATTTTTTTCTTTAAAGAATAAGGTCCCAAACTTAGAATAAAAGTTATTTGTAAAATGTTTTCACAATTTAACAACAATACAGATGGTCAGTAGTGAAAGATGACGTCACTTACGTCATATTTTTCTCTGTATTAAAGCTTTATTCGATGAGTTATTTTCACAATTTATGATGGCAAAGCAGTCAAAATTGAAGAAATGAGCTCATGTATAGGACACTTTTTGGACCTTTATAAGTGAGGGGGTGGGTCTTTCGAACCACCCTAACCACCACTGGCTATGGGCCTGAGTTAAAGACATACATACATTTTACCTGACCAATAGCAGACAACAATGCCCATGTGGTACAGAAAGTGTACATGTTACTTCAAGAAGCAATAAATAAAACTGGGTGTTAAATGCAAATGGATACAATGAAAAAGTCTGTGAATCAATATTGACTTACTAAGTCCACATGCTTAAGTATGTAGCTTGCAATCACCAGCAAAATACAAAACACTTTGAGTGCGCTGGAGCATGCAAATTTAGGATGCAATTTAGATTTGTTTTTTCCTCAAATATTTTGTTGGCAGAAAAACTGCTCTCTGGGAGTCCAATCACCATTAAAGAGTTGTTTTTCAATGAACCATAAAAAGTAGTACGAAAAAATATCAGGTTAATTTTAGTCTGGAAAGTTCCTCTACATTTTGAGGTTTTACATGACTATGGAACTATATTTAAATATTAATAGCTACATTTTGACACACACATCCAGGCGATGCAGAGGCAGCGTGTTCAAACGCGTTTGGTGTTAAAGAGGTGAAGAGACACCGAAGCAGCAGAGAAAAGGAGAGATTTGCATTAGCATGGGGAGGAAGAGTGATAGCCTGTCAGGTGACAGTATTAGGGAGCTGTCACTCGGGCCTGGCATGCGGGCAGCAATTACACAGCGGAGGCCGCGTGCCCACTGAGCCAGCTCCAGGTGGAAGCACAATTAGACACGGCTCCCTGTCTCGCCGTCGGCATCAAACCAACCTCGTCGCAGCCTTTTGAAAAGTTGTCCATTGAACATTTCTCTGCTGCTCCATCACAATGAAGCTATTGCGTTCCCAGCGGACGAGTCACGGCTGGGACGGCCTCTGTTCTACAGACTGCTGCTGACACCTGAACAGCGCCGCTTTCCCCCGGGCACAGCAGAGCTCGTGAACTCTCAGGGGGAACACATGGGGAAATCTGTGTCCCTACACTCATTACTCAGTGTTTGGCAGCTATTGCATGACAAAAGGAGGAGGAGCCCGTTTGGATAAGCAAATCTACATTGGCAATTCTTTCTCTCTGATGTCAGGTATAAACAAGGGCATATTCAGAATTTGGAATCTAGCCCAAGCACTTCTTGCGGCAGATAAACCCCTAGCATTCTCGCTTATAAATCTTTTGCACTAAACCTGGAAAATTTGTTGGGTAGGCATGGGCCGGTATAGGATTCTGATTTTCACGACATTTTGATTATCACTCTAAAATATGTTTTTTTTTTTTTTTTTTTTTTTTTTTTGTAATGTCTGGGTAAAAAAACAAAAACTCTCATTGAACACAATACATTTTTATTTTAAGAAACATTACAATTATTTGGATCAGTAAACATGTCAGGCTAAATAATTAAACTAAATCATTGACTTCTGCTTTCTTCATTAGTTTTAAAAACACAGATTTTTTATAATTTTATATCTTTGGATATAAAAGTAAGCCACTGCTCTGTTTAGGTCTGTTTAGGCAATTTATTTAGCGAAATGTTTGCTGAATCGTGGGCTGACCACTAGCTTTTGATGTGGATGGTCCATGTCTGCTTGAGATACTGTTCCCCCTAAAAAAAACTAAATAAATATAGTTATAAATAAACCTTGACTTTGAGGGCCTGTTTACTCTAATATGTTTTAGTTTTAAAACGGCGTTTCTGAAAAGTTCTCTGTCCACACTACACCAATGAAAATGCACATCATGTGACCATACACACACTCTGGCATGCGCTGAAAGCTGCGTCAGCATATTCACGCGTCCGAGCTCCAGGCAGTCAGCGGTAACTCTGAGCACACCTTCCTGGTTTAGAGTCGCCGAACATCGGCCAGTCCATCCCAAATCAGCCGCTGGATCTCATCTCTTTGTAGTTGTTAATATTGATTATTATTTTTGTTTACAGAATATTTTATTCAGCAAAAGAGACGGCTATTTCGTATTTCATCATGCATTTCCTCTGATAATCTTTATTGTGCATATAGCCTGACATCAAGCACACGTTGCCAAAACCACACAGCGAGCCTAATGTTTCATATTTTTCAATGAAAATGAAATTTATAAATTTGCATTCAGTGAAGCTGATGGTCATAAATATGTACATGATGCCATAACATTTTTGGTGTATGTTATGTTTAAGTTTTTAATATAACAATTAAAAAGAGTGCTTTATGTTTTCATTTTATTTTTAAGATAAATGAAATGTAGCCAGGGTGAATGGCGTTATATATTGTACACTGTCTTTACATTTGAAGATTTACCTGATTTGTCATCTAGTGTTCCTTATAAACTTGCAGAGACTGAACTTACAAGGAAAGAATGCAAGTCTGAACTTTGTGTACTTGATATTGAGAAAAAGACCCAATCAGGTGGTGCGAATGTCGGCAGCCATGCCTCCTTTTTCAGATGTCTCCTTTTCCCAATCCACACTGACACAGAGCAGCATTTTAAAAAAAAATGTCCTCTTCAGCATTTCCAAAATGCTTCGTTTTTGAGGCTGGAAAACGTATTCGTGTAAACAGGGCCTTACACACTGTGGTAAATCTTAAAACCCATTATAGTCCCAAGCCTACTTTCGGGGAGCATATCTATTTTGGATTTAAAAATACATTGAATTATAGTGAAAAAAAGAATATAAATGTTACCAGAATGTGAAGGTGTCCTTGTTGTGAAAGATTATTACTGTTCACTGGGACAACAATCAAGAATAATATGCTGGAATGGTGGAAGGAGGCTGTGTTGTACCATCTGATGCCCAGTTGAATCTGGATCAAATAAGCCACGGGCAAAAGGTGATTTAGAGTGCATATTGTTGAAATAAATGTGCAAAATTGGCCATCATGGCCTTCATTTTTGTAGCTGTCCACTTTCTGATCAGCTAAACACCTGAACTGCCAAAAGCTGTACAGCAGATGATAAGCTGTCTTTTTGTCATTACAATTCACCTAGCTGCTGTGGTTTGTTGCATTTATATGGCTATGTCCTTATTAAACAAAGGCAGTTGCAGATGTGGTAACATCACTGCAGAACAGAACTGAACATATATAGAAGCACACATTTTACTGCATGTCTTTCTTGATTTATGATATAGTGGCAGACATATGTATCTGTCTTAAACTGCAGAGATGCTCCCTCTGGAATAAGCTGAGGTTAAGTGTCTTGCATGAAAGGCTACTTCAAGCGAAATATAAAAACTATTTGGTGTAACATCATTTAAAGCAATTTCAAATTTGCTTAAAATTCAAACAGCTTGAGAAAAAAGCTTGTCGTTTTCTCACTGCTGTTATTTTTGTTGTTCTAGCAGGTTTTGAACCCACAACCTTTTGGCTCAATATAAATCTCAAATTTCAAAGTCAGCTCAAAGCAGTCTTGCTTTTGAAAAATTGTAAAATTACTAACATTCATCATTCATTCACTCAGTTTCTTTCAGCTTAGTCCCTTTATTAATCAAGGGTCGCTACATCTGAATAAACCGCCAACTTATCCAGCATATGCTTTACACAGCGGATGCCCTTCCGGAAGCAACCCAACAGTGGGAAACAACCATACACTCTTGCATTCATACACATACACTACGGGCAATTTAGCTTATTCATTTCACCTACAGCACATGACTTTGGACAAATTACTAACATATATATTTAGATATTTAAAAATCTAAAATAGATAATGTTAAAAATTGTTTACAATTACTTAGAATAAAAAAAATAAGCAAAAAGAAATCAAATATAAATATGCCCAGCAAGCATTTTTTTGTTTTTAAAATATGTCTAATAGATGTCTAATAGATGTCTAATAGATGTTTAAACATAGTCATCTTTGCTAAAACAAGGCTAAATTTGGACTGTCAGTGAACATCTAATAGACGTCTAAGAATAGGCCAAAACTAGACTAGTCATCAAATAAACAGTCTAGTATTGGCCTATTCTTAGACGTCCATAAGATTTTCACTGACAGCCTAAGTTTAGCCTCGTTTTAGCCAAGCTGTATACGTTTAGATGTCTATTAGACGTCTATTAAACACAAAATTGTTTGCTGGGTAGTATTAAAAAAGGATCTAGTATGCATTTACCATTGCTCAATTTTGCAAAGCCCAGTATTAATATTATTCCAATATGAATTTGTGCAATGCAAATATTGTGATTAAAATTACGAGTCAGTGGGTCCTAAAAAACCCATGCTGATTTAAATTACCTGTAGCAAACCTTAAACAATATGGGTCATTTTAGGTTATATTAAAAAACATGAATCTAAATATATGTAAATCAAAAACAGGCATCCAGGTTTGGAACAACAGGAGTAGTGCTTTTTATCTTCTAGGTGTAATTACTGACTGCACACAGGTTTGGGTTAGCATCACAATGGTTATGAGGAGCAGCAGTCATGGGCAGTCTAACAGTAAATACAGTCAGCCAATACATACACAGTCATACTGTCTCACAGTCACTCACACCAGTGTTTTGGGCATCATTAATCCTGCCTAATCAAGCACAGCCCCCTGTCGGGTGTTGAGAGGGGTTGAGTGAGAGGTGGGGGGAGGGTTATGAGATCTAAGGGTGTGCCAGCTGGTGGAGCAGCCACTTACAGTGAGTCACAGGACCATCTGTCCAGTCGCTCTGCCCTGTCTCCACACACACACACACACACACACACACCTTAAAAGAAAAATCTTCACACCTAGATGGATGCAAATTTAAAAAAAAAAAAAAATTGTGTGATGCACGTGTCATTGATTCTGCTAAAAATGTAAACACCTGATGAAAGTGAAATGTACACATCATTCAAATCCACTAACAGATGGTGACTGGTCAATACTGCAATACTTAGTCAAAGTGTGCAAAAAAAAAAACACATACAATTGAAGTCAGAATTATTAGAACCCCCCCGGCCTTCCCCTGAATTATTAGCCCCCTGTTTATTTGTTCCCCAATTTCTCTGTTAACCGAGAAGATTTTTTTCAGCACATTACTAAACATAATAACTAATTAATAACTAATTTCTAATAACTAATTTCTTTTATCTTTGCTATGATGACAGAACATAATACTTTACCAGATATTTTTCACTTTTTTACTTTGACACTTCTACAAAGCTTTAAGTGACATTTAAAAGCTTAACTAGGTTAATTATGTTAACTAAGCAGGTTAGGGTAATTAGGCAAGTTATTGCATAACAATGGTTTGTTCTGTAAACCAGTGTTTCTCAACCACGAACCTGGAGGAGCACCAGCTCTTCTCATTTTCCATGTCTCCTTAACCAAACACAACTGATTGAAATCAACAGCTGATTAACAGAAACTGAAAGTCCTGTATTGGGTGTGAAAGACAAAAGAGACATCCAAAACATGCAGTGTTGGTGGTCCCCCAGGAACTTGGTTGAGAAACACTGATGTAGACTATCGAAAAATATATAGTTTAAAGGGGCAAATAATTTTGACCTAAAAATATTTATAAAAAAAATTAAAAACTGCTTTTATTCTAGCCAAAATAAAACAAATAAGTCTTTCTCCAGAATAAAAAATATTAAAAGACATACTGTGAAAATTTCTTTGCTCTGTTAAACATTATTTAGGAAATATAAAAAAAGAAGAAAAAAAATCAAAGGGAGGCTAATAATTCTGACTTCAACTGTATATAAGAAGCAAGGAATAGGGATAGTTGATACTGTCACGAGCATAGCATATTTTCAAATGGCCTTGCTTCTAAAAAATATTTTTCATCATATTTCTTTTTTCCCCTGAAGTATTTGCATGCACACGTGTGTATTGCAGGAAATGTGAAAAATATTTCTAAGTATTCGAACTTTAAACAATTAGTTTTTTTTTATTTTTTAATAATTATCATTTTGGTTGTGTTGTTCACATAACTCATAACTGTAGCTTTTTATCCTCATTAAAAGCATTAATTACTCAGTCTCACAGTACAGTTGTCTTTATACTGTATTTTCCTACACAATTTCAAATCAAAGTTTGGGACTGTGGGACTAAGTAATTATTGCTTCCATTAATTAATGTGTGCATTCAATGGGACCAGTGCTTAAAGAATACGGAGCTGTTTTGCTGTTAAGCCCTCATTGGTCATACAGCTATGACTGGTCTTGGAAAACTAAAATCAAATTACTTGCCTTAAAGGAATGGTCCACTATGATATCATATTTTAAACTTTAGTTTATGTGAAATGTAGCTCTGTGAACATAAACAGCATCTCTGAATGTGATATGCTCAAAGTTCAATGCAAACTCAAATCTCTGTGAACATCCACAATCTTTACCAGCACTGCATTGTCTCTCTGTGCGGCTGCTTTCTGTGGGTTATACATCTCAAATAACAAACTCGCAAAAGATAAGAGAATGTTTCATATTACTTGCACATTAACCAGAATATATGTGAAAGACACTTGTCAGATTTTATTTTAGAGAGCAGGCGTGAGGTTCAGCTGTGTCCTCTGTTATTTTTTTTCTCTGATTCAGGCACAAACTAATACGGCTAACAGCTACCTTGACTGACAGTGTTTACACTGCACAAAAGAGCATGCTTGTTGGCGCATGATGCTTTTCCTGGTGACGTGGAGCCAATCCAGGAATTACAGCACATTATGTTAGCTGACCAATCAGAGCCTCTTGAGGGCCAGCCTTTCAGAGAAACTAAAAAATTTGACAGCCGTTTTCATGTTAGCTGAGTAGCTGTATATAATTAAAGTGAGATATAATCAGGGCTAAATTTGTGCCGGAACACATTGGATCCGGATCCGGCACCTCTGAAATCTGATCCGGCACCTCATTTTTACTGATTCACCTCCTTATCCGCCCTCCTCCCTCGTCCGCGACTCCCCTACTCTCTTCACTTTCGTCCGCGACAACAAACCCCTACCCTGGCTCATAACTTACATCCGCAACACTCCTCTGTCATCCAATGCCTAACCAACCCCCCACCCTGCTCTCCACTTTTATGCGAGACACCTCTCGATCCTCGGATAACACACGCAGGATCCGTTACCTCGATCTGTTCCGGGACCTCTTGATTCACAAATTAAGCACTGGATATAATAACATGATTTTCTACAAATGAAGCATGAACACACGTTACTTTGCATCTTATAAACACAACCAAGACTGAAAAATACACTCTGGACCACCCCTTTAAAGCTCCATACAGAGAAAAGGAATGATTGTAAATCTGTTAGATGTTAAAAATAAACTCCCGCAAAATAACCAGGGAAAACCACAAATGTTGTAGCTGACATAAGTACAAATTCCTCAAGATGACTCTTGATTTGAAAACTAACGGTGTCTACCTGTATATATGCACCCTCATCTCACCCCAATTTCCATCTTGGCTGCTTCCCATCCAAAAAGCAACAGAGGAGTTAACACTGTGGCTCTCGACTAATTAATAATGGATACAGCCAGAGGCGAATTAAAATTATAATTCTCTACTCCTTTCTAAGTCTCCACTCTCCGAGATTATATTCATTCCAGTTAAGATTCACTTTCAAAACTATGGCTGTAATAGTAATCCTCACAGCCTAATAAATGCAAAGCAGACATGGCATTGCAGCAGTATTTTCTAGGCACAGTTATGTATTGCTCCTAACCAGCAGTGGTTACATTGATCTTAATTGATGATGACACAAAAAAGCCCATGGCCCGCGACGAGAAACCAACTGCTATGACTCAAGTGCTACAAAACTAATGCAGTCCCACAGTTTAAACAATACCATTTCACCTCCAGCCTCGAAATATATTTTCTTATTTAAACAGGCTTGGTGGGATTTGTGGTCGCACTCCCAAAAAAAAAAAAAAAAAGACTTCTTTCGGCACAGACTTCCCTGCTAACTGCATTGGCAAGATATCCGTTCTAAACGATCTGTCACCAGTTTTAGAGCAAAAAGCTGGCTATGCTTAAAAATTCATTTTTTTTTCCCCAAACGCCAAATGTTGTTTTCTCTATTCCATCTGCAAAGGCGCCACACGTCTTCCAAGAAACTCAGACTCATACCCTCTTTAGCTCAATGATAACTGGCTTTCCTTAAATGTATCCATGCTAACTCTGTCTCTTCTTCTCTCCTTACAGATGTTTTTCCAGGTCTGATCACTTGGCTTTGCACATGAAGCGACATATCTAAGGCAGAGGAAGACGGGAGAAAGAGAGAGAGAGAGAGAGAGTGAGAGAAAACGAAGAGGAGAACAGGTGTGCACCATCCAGACGGGAACATTCACAACAGACTTTGGGTGCACAAGAGGGGTCTGGCTGCAAACGTCACCAGGAGGAACATGCAAGGCAGCGTGGGCAAGCGTTGTTGGATTCTACACACTCTCAAGACAGTCCAAAAGCCTTTTCATCAGCGATTAGCCATGCCTTACCGAGCACTAGCTTGGAGGTCAGACACTGCCAAACACCAGGTTTTTCTTTTCTCCCCTCATTCTTTTTTTTGTACAGTACAACACCACTAGCATGGAACAGGAAACTGAGCGCTTCATGTACAAAATGAAAACGCACATTTCATTCATCACATAGCCTAATGGTTCTACTGGAGAATCATGTTCATTGTACATTCTGGAGTTTCAATTTCTTTTTCCAAGGACAGATCACAATAACCAACCTGCAGCTATGTTGTATACAGCAAACAACCAAACACGGAAAGCAACATTGCCAATACGTTCTGAGGAGTGACCAATGGAATAAGTGGCCAAATGCAACGCCTGGCCCCGGAAGCAGGCTCTGCCTGGGGAAAAGTGATAAAGAAAAAATACGGCAACACTCAGGATGTGTGCTGATTTCTCGTACTCTTCGCTCAGGAGCGAACTCTTCTCTGCTCTTCACACCCGTCACCTCACGGGTGACTGAAATGATGCGCAGCGACACTTTCTTGCCTTTGTTTTTTGTTTAAAGACAGTGTTAAAAAAGATGGTTTGTTTTCCTTCTGAGCTAAAAATGTCTTAAACTTCTGAAAGGTGAAAATTTGCTTTGCAAACAAGCGAAAATGTGCACATACGGGCAACGAGAGGGAACTTTGAGGCCTTCTCTGTATGCACAAGGTTCAGTGGCTGCTATCTGGCACTGAAACAAAACATTCAAAGCGTAAGACGGGAACAGAAACCCCCCCCAAAAAAGATTGGGATTGCTGGCTTGGTATAAAAGGACAGAAGTCTTCTGTTTTTCATTTTGCTTTGCACCGACTTGATCTGGGTAAAGTTAACCAATTGTCACGGACCTTGTGTGATGCTCTTGACACTGGAAAGAGTTCTTTTGCTTTGTGTTGATATTGGCACCTGTGTAAGAACGTAGTCGTCCAGTGCACTGTAGGAGGCCAACAGAGGAGACGTAATGGGGGAGGGACAGTTGGCAGGACGTTGACTCTCAGATTGGAGCACCTGCTGGGATCAGGATCCAAAAGACCTTGGTGGCATCAGCCCAGACAAACTTTGCCTGTTTCGTATCCATTGTCTGCACTGATTTTTTCAATGTTCTCTGTGCTTTTTTTCATACTGTCAAAAAAAAAAAAGCTCAAAAACAAAACAAAAAAAAAGCATAAAAACAAAAAACATCTTGGAGGGAAAAAAGCAGAAAACAAAAAACACATAAAAAAAACTCTTTTACAGACACATCACAACACAGACAGAATGGTTTCTTTGCTCTTGGCTTTTTCCTGGAAAAAAAAACTAAAGAAAAAAATAGAACAATAATTACCAAGTTAATGAACAGCGTTAAAAACGAAACACTGCATGGCAGCCTCTTTCAGATAGATACACACACTCGCACACATACATGCACAGCTTGCCTCTCAGCATTATTTGTTTTGCACCAAAATCTTCACAGCAGGGTTTTAGCAATTGTTGTTTTGTAGGATTGCGTTCCATCCAGACGTCAGACGTTCAATTGAGAGCTTGTTGATACACTCGAGTATATTATGCTAAACCGGGCCTAGGTCTAGCTTGGTGTTAACAATCAGCTTCTAAATCGCGGGGACAAAAAAAACATATCATCATCCCCAAGGTTGTGAAGCCTGTCGTGGCGTCGCAATCAGGGCGTTCCCTTACTGACCCTACTCTTCTGCATTGATTTAATGGCTGTGAGGGTGGAGGGAAGATTACGATTCAGCAGTAACATGTTTAGAATCATGGCAGACTTTACTAAACGATCCCAGAGTTTCCCCTTAGGGGACCACCGGAGCTTAATGATCAATACACAAACTCTCAGCATAGAAATGCTGAGTTGGTGCAGAATGAAAAGTTGGTGCCTTTCTCTTGGTTTGAGGCCTGCTGAAGGCAGCTCATCTATCACATATATACACACACAAACGTACACAGACCCACACACACACACACACACCATTTCTTCAGTTTGACCATTTTAGTCGCCATTTTCAATTGATTTCCTCTCATTCCAACAAATTTTCTTTGTTAAAATGCAAAGTCATGCCAAAATTTTGACAAAATAGGAGATGAATCAGTTTCTCTCCAGTAATGTACAATCAGTTGTGGGTTGTGGCACTTTTGTCCGCAAGAAGCGGTCCCTGTGTGTGACGATTGTTCGTATGAGTTTCTGTAAAATAAGGTGCATTGCTACAGTGTCATAATAGCATTGTGTACTATCCCACAATTTCACAAATGGGGTTATTACTGACAATGTGCAAACAGCTAGAAAAGCTTTGAAAGGGTTACATTTCCATTTTCCTCACAGATAGCAGTCATGAAAAACTGCTCTTCTCTCCAGTTTTTGCTTTGACAAAAAGACAATTCTGATTCATTCAGTCACCAAACGTGATATAACAACAAGAACACAGGGACAAAAACAAAAGCATCCTGTCATTTTCTTCATCAATATATGAATTCAGCTTTCAAATTTAACACTGAAGATACACATACTGTAACTGTCTTATTTTAAAATACAGTGCAAAGTGACAAATTGAAAATTACAAATGAAACTCTCTTCTGCCAACATGCTCCAGACTTTACCAAATGAATATGGAACAGGCCAATCAAATTCATTAGCAAGCAACATGCCGTACATATCCGATCACATATCAAGTGCCATTCGAAACCCCCAATCTCTCACTCTTCGAGCGACAGCAGCGGTCTAGTCAGTTGCACAGGCGCCTGATGCTTTGCCCAAAGATTTAAGCATTTGCAAATAACCTGCTGGGTGTTGAAAGAGAGAAAGAAGACTTATTTTGCATTATTCTCACAGTATCTCCTTGTACCCTACACCAGCTTTCTAAGATTCGTTCTTGAACATCTATATGACCATTGGCTTGGTCTCGAGTGTGTGTGCTTGTAATATACGGTTTGAATGCAAAGTTGAGGATGAGTTTTAAGCCTAGCCGTAAACAAACAGCGAATTAGTTGCATTGGTTCTAGCGCTTCTGTAGTCAGTGCAGGTCACGCATGTCCTTAGAAATCACCATCCAGGCGAATGTTTCTAAAACACTCTTGATTCTGATTTAGCTGTACAGAAGACCACCTTTTCTACCACAAGTTATCCGTACAACTTCAAAACGGAGACAATGCTGTGGCAGAACATTTTACATGACAGTAGGAATGTTCGAAGACATTCTAAGGGAACAATTTTAAGTGTACTAGATCTGGGCACTCTTCCAGTGAAGCTCCCTTCCCAAGCCGTTTGCTTTTCAGCTTCAAAGAGGCTTTTGGCAGCTTAAATTTTATATGAAAAAGATGCTTGAAACATCACAAGGGGATTTTATGATAAAAGGTCAGAGGTGACAACTTTTCCGTTTTATTTTTTTGTTATCGTCTGTATTGCAACAACATTTCACTGCATAAATAACACTCGTCATTGTTACCGCTAGCTTAGTCTGTTAAGAATGACACTGCTGTCGATTGTCTACATAACATTTAGTGGCATTTCGAGATGCACTTATCACAAGAACATGGGAGCAATTCATTCTTCAGCTTGATAGATAAAGCTTGACAAACTTTTTCGACGCACCAAAAAGAGACTAAATCTGCATGTACATTCGAATATTCATCCATAGGTTCCCAGTCACTCGCAGACAGCGAAGAGACTCGTTTGTCTTGGGATATACTGCATCTTGAAGTGCATCTGTATCCGTGTTTGTCCAAACTTGATATGTCAGTGCGTAAGGTTTTCACCGGGTCTTTCCTTTCTGCTTTTTGCGTTCCTCACCTCCCACCCCTACCTACCCCACCCTGCACCTGCAGAACCACAATCACGTCCTTAAAACACAGTCACCTCAGTGTCATCCTCCGGTTACGTGTTACCAGCTGTCAGCGATTTCTTACCTATGAATGTCCGTAGACATTACTAAGCAGGGAGCAACCGGCCAACAACAGACCTCAGTGCTTTTACAGGTGCTCTCTTTTATCCATAAATGGATCTCGCAGAAAGCTGCCAGTTGGTAAAGCAGGTACAAATCAGAAAAAAAAAATGGAAAAAAAGGGAGAAAGAAAGAAAAATAGAACAGTTATGTGCCATCTTGATTTATCTGTATGGAAGTAGGACGACATTTTGCCATATGTAGGCTGAAGCATGTAGTTTCTCGCTAGAGCAGGGACCTTCATATTCACTGTCCTCTTTCCCTCGCCACATCACTAACACTCCACCCCCTCACTTCCTGTAATCTTCACACTCTTCCTCTCCGTTTTGTTTTTTGTTCTATTCTGTTCTTTCCTTGTGTGTTTTTCTTTATCGGTTCTTTTGCTGTACAAAGTGTTTAAAATATTATTATTTGTATGATATAATGTTAGTATGGTAATGTTCTTTATTAAGGAAGAAGATGAAATTTATTTTTGTTACTGGTCTGTTTCATAATTCTTTTTTAAATTGGTATTGTAAGATATCTATGCAAGAACTGTTCAGTGGAGCATTTTTATTTAAGAATGTAATAAGTGTAATAAATGGTAGAATCTGAACGTCTCTGACTGATGCTTTCTTTGACCGAGAACGAGAAATTACTTTGACAGTGAGCGAGAGAGACATCGTCTTTTCATAGCCTTTCATAACCTTTGGTTGGAGTGCTTTCAAATAGTCAAGACTCATTACTAGACAATTTTTTGTCCCAGAAATCACCACTCTGTAACAATGGCTTTGTGTACACTGGCTCTGAATGGATTTTTTGTGGCCAGGGTTCATTGGAATTGGAAAGCTGACTAGCAACAGAAACTCTGTGAAGGTCAAAGACTATCATGCTTTGTTTGCAGATGAATATGGCTGAATTTTTGAATATAAACAAGCAGTGGTTGTGCTCTCATTAGCGTTTCCTTCTCTAGGCCAATATATAGAAGCAGTTCCCCATATTGGAATAGTCAAACTGGTTGGTGCACACTTGGCAAAGTTGGATTGTATGCATGCATATATGCATTTATACAGCAGTTATGTCTGGTTTTTGAATCCGATTGGCTGATAGCCGAGCGATATTCTGCAAATAACAGCACTGGTACAGCCTCTTAACTCTTGTGTATTACTCGGCCAAAATACAGCAACAAGCAGAGGACACTCTACAGTTCGACAGTTTTTAGTTAAGAATGTGGTTTTTATATTACAATCATGCAGTTTATTTATAAAGATAGTTTTAAAATTATTTAACTAAAATAAATATAATTAATTTTTACTTAAATTATTTATTATTTACTGTTTAAATATTTTTTATTAAATTTAATTAATTATTACTTAAATTATTTATTATTTACTATTTTAAAATACTTTTTCATTTCGGAGCATCAAATTCAGTGCATCGGCCATCATCAGCCTCTCTGAGCCCAAAGTAACGGTTGATGTCACACAACAAGATTGGCGACAGAGACAGCATAATAAGTCTTTAGCAGAGAAAAACAGCATTTTCTTAAAGTAATTTCAAACTACAGCAGAACAAATCATTATAAATTAGGTAAGTGATATTCTGAGTCGATCTCTTTTTTTATTTAGTAGTGCTGTATTTATGCCACAGAAACTGATAGTGTTAGCTTTGGCTCTTGCGGGGTTAATTATTGTGATATCCTAATTTGTACAGAGAAACACTAGGAAATCTCTGTAGATTGATGGTGCTTCATGTCGTTAAGCCTAATAATCTTAAAATGTGAGCAAAAATCACCTGTTTTGTCATCACTTAAAACATTACACTAGAAAATCATTCAAATTCTAGTTCTAGAGTGACGTTTGTGAACTGGCAACAGTTTTTGCTGTTCTGACTGTCAGCTGCAGATATGAATGAATGGCAGAAGAAAGTAGCTTCTTATACAAAAGGGCTTGACTCTCCAAGTTTGATTTTCTTTTTTATATATACAATTATGCTGATGAACTGTTGTATAAACGCAATATCACACGAGTAGCAGTGCGATGTGGCTGTTATAGTGGTACACCAAGGCTCTCGACCTGCAGCCTCGAATCAACACACGCCTCCCACCAGTGCCGATATATAGCCATATCGCACTGCTACTCATGTGATATTGCTCATATATATGTGGGGTAAAAACAGGATGAAGATATCCGATTTTTTTCTTATTTTGTTTAAATATCTATTTTTCC